AACTATTGGTGTATATCCATTTACAAAAAATTCTCTTCACACAACTGAGAATTTCAGAAGAAATGAGTTGCTTTTTTTTTCCAGCAATTGATGATATAATTTCCTTCAATTCTTCATAACTTGTGTCCTCCTTTACATTGGTTGTTCTTACACTTCCTCCCACATATCTCATATCATCTTCTTCATCATTTATAAAGTTTCTCCCTATGTGAACAAAGCAAAATAGATGTTTTCCAGACGTATTTGCCATCAGTAACTTAAACCTGCATCAAGAAGCACGCAACTGTCATTGACAACTTAAGGAGCTACATTGACAAATGTAGCAACACACATTGACAACAATCGCGGCCTGATTGACAACACAATCTCATTTCGTGCTAAGGGTTTCTACCATCACTAACCTTCATCTTTTTCTTCCTTTGCCACTAAAGTAACGTCAGAACAGAGGAAAACCACCCAAAAACAATCCAAAAACAGAGCACCCATTATCATTCTATACACCCAACTTAAATCACAACACACACCAACAAAAAACACAGCTTTTCCATTCATTAACTTCTGAATCCTAAACCAAAAACAAAAGCTTTGAAATACCATCAGTAACTTAAACCTGTATCAACCAGCACGCAACTGTCATTGACAACTTAAGGAGCTACATTGACAAGAGTGGCGACACACATTGACAACAATCGCGGCCTGATTGACAACAATCCCATTTCGTGCTAAGGGTTTCTACCCTCACTAACCTTCATCTTTTTCTTCCTTTGCCACTAAAGTAACATCAAAACAGAGGAAAACCACCCAAAAACAGAGCACCCATTGTCATTCTACACACCCAACTTAAATCACAACACACACCAACCAAAAACATAGCCTTTCCATTCATTAACTTCTGAATCCTAAACCAAAAACAAAAGCTTTGAAATACCAAAGGCAAAAACGATTTTTTGATTTCTCATTCCCAAACAAATCCAGAATCTGTCAAGAAAGGTAGGAGAGGAGAGAAAAGAAAGTTTCACACCTCAAGATTTGTGAAGATTCACATGGAAGCACTTTGGAGTTCAATAATGGTAATGGAGAAGATTTTTCATCATAAATGGCTCCTTCTCTCTTTCCCAATGTCTTCTCCCTCAAGCTTCTGCGTAGGAAATACTCAAAGTTCATTCTCCCGTCTTTTTTTCTGATGGCAGGGACAGGGCAAAACTGTAATTAGTGGATTCTGAAAATTGCATCTAAGTCCCTTTGGGACTTCAAAAGAATTATCAGATTTTAGGGGACCTATTTGATGTATTTTGTTTTCCATGGGACCTCAATGTCATTTTCCCTATTTTAAATTGCATTTAAGAAGTTTCAAGCGAGGGCCCCACCCGAAAGTCCACGTGTATTCATGGATTCATGCTGCCTAATTTGGACAATGAAGTAAGAATCTTGTGAATTAAGGAATAGGGTCATCAATCACACCACGTAAACCTGAAAATTTCAATTCTCTCCCATTCATATATATATAAATATATATATTTTTAATTTATTATAAGTTTGTGTTTTTCTTTTTAGCATTTTTCTGACTGTAGCTTCCCAAGTTTAAGATATTTTCTTCCTTTTTAAAAAAACTTATATTGTTGATCAAACTTGCAAAGCAAGGAGATTTTTAAAGGTTTACTGCAATTTTATAATGTAATATCCTTTATTTATTGAAGCGAATGGATATAATGCGTTTTAAAAATAATAAAATAATTGTGTGTGTTAAAAAATACTTTTAATTGTTTATTGTAATTTTATCACATTTATAGTTGATACTTGATACACATGACGGTATAATTAATGTCATTCATCGTGCGTGAAATATCTTGTTACTGTATTTTTAAAAAATTATTTTTACTGGTTTGATGGGCTTTTGTTTATCTTTTTAACTATTGATTCTAGGACCTTAAAAATTAGATTTGAATTCTCGTTTAAAAATGCTAACATTTATTACCTGATAGTATTTTGAATAAAATTATCTTTAATAAAAAGATACTTATACTTAGAAAAAAAATTTAAAAATTAGACCAAGTGGGCCCCGATAGCAGAAAATTACATATGATGTTTTATTCATTATAATTATGTATTATTTTAAAAAGTGTATTTGAAATTTATAATATAAATTCCATATTTATGATAAAAATAATATACTCATTTACTTGAAAATAAAAAATTAGAAATTTTTGTCGTGGATGTGGGTATTTTAATCTTTTTGGAAAAAAACTGTCCATGTGTTTAAAACAAAGAAAAAAAAACTTAAGTCAAGTTATTTATATCTATTATATCAAGTTTTTTAATTACACATGACCACATGTCTTTTTTTGTTTCATTTATATTTACAATTAAATGTTAATATTTCATAAATAGGAGGCATTGTCATATGTGATTGAAAAATTTGATATAATAAATTTACTAAACTTATGTAGGTATTGTCCTAAAACAAATCCCAATAAACAGTGAATGAAAGATAGCAGGCATTTATTAGTTTCATGCTGATATTATAAGATGAATTGTAAATAAATAATTATGGATGATTTTGATTTTATTTAGTATATCAATCATTGAATTAATATCAATAGCCTCAAAAGAATAGTGAGTTTACATTTAGCAATGAACTCAATCAATCTGAATCACACCTCACCTGACTATGGAATTAGTCTTTTTCTTCCTCCTTTTCAAAGGCATGATTACTTCTCATTCTGTTATTATTTAGGCGTAATTATGTACATATATTGACGCAGCATATGATTAAGCTGAGTGGAGTCAAAGAACAATGATAATGCACACGCTTACTTCTTTTACTTTTTATTTATTTTAAAATTTTTACATATATATATATATTTTGGTGTGTGTATTTGAGCTATATACATGTAAGCTCCTTAGACTTTAGAAAAATTGACAAAAAAAGAAATTGAAAATTACTAAATGCCAAATAATAAATATTAACAAAAATTTGTTGTCATTTATAAATTCAGTATTGTGAACACCAAATAAAATATTGTTGCCAACCCTGATTTGAAATTTAGTAATTTTCAGGTTTTTTTTGGTTATTTTTTCTAAACTTTAAGTATTAGGTAAAATAATGGGGAGTTATATGCATAAATATATGAATTCAGGAGGATTTGTCGTTCGCGGTAAAGTTTCGACGTTTAATGAGGTTATATATATAAAACATAAAATTTAGGGGAGTTATATATAATTTTTCATTTAAAAAAATAAAAACTTTAACAAAATTAATTGCATAAATAAGAACATAATTTTACATTTTTAAACAAACTTTTGGATTCCATGGTTTCCATAATTTTATAAATAATGTGATTTCTTATAAATTTTATTTTATACATAGATATAATTTTCTTGCTTTGGTCTTGATAACTAGGATAGGGTTTATGTTCTTTGATTGTTGCATATATTGAGGGTTGACGGGCAAATGAACGATAATGACCAAAATTAGGAAAGGTTGGCAAAGAGAATGACCAAAACTAGAAAAGAGGAGCGAGCGGCATTAGTTGGCACATTACACTGTGGAAGATGCTGCGAGTGCGACCGTTGCAATTCCCAAGTTATAATTTTCCTTTTTTTTTTTTCTAAAGAACCAGTGGTCCTTATTTATATGGGAAAATGACTTTTATTTTTTGGTGACCATCACATGTGAAATTGACAACATACCTGAATAAAACAGTTCCTTTAATAAATAACAAAAAAATAACATATTATATCTAGTACTAAATGAAAAATCTAATTATGTAGTGTACAAAATGAGTCTTGCATTTGCTAGCCAAAAAAAGAAAGAGAGTCTTGCGTTTATGACCGTTGGAATACTTGCTTTTAAGTCAAATTTTTTATATCTATCATGTTAACTTCTTCAATCATATATAACTATGTATTCTATTTTTAAAATATTAACATTTAATATCATTTAATTATAAATTCACATTAAAAAAAATAAAACACATGTTGATACAATGAATATAAAGAATTTAACCTAATTATTTTCTTTTTATACTATTCACTCCTAAATATAAGAGTTATATAATGAATTTGTGGACATTAGTTAAATTAATTATTTATAAGAATTTTGTGTTGGTTTTCCAAATTGTTTCAATAATCATTTGCATTGGAAAATGTCCATGATAGAAACTATTTTGAAAAATATATTATAAATTCATCAAACAAGACAAAATAAGCTCTTATATTTAAGAATAAAATAAACTCAGCTTATAAATTTAGGATCGGTGTTGATCAAACAAGCCAATCAATGTAAGTCATGCGGATAGCTTGCTTAGGCATGACTGTGTTTAGCGCAGGGGAGGGGGCGGTGGTATAGGGAGTGGACGAGGTTGAGGGAGGCTAGACTTTCAGTATTTGGGCCACATATAGAATTATAATTGGACTTCCCATTCAGGATTTGTTTGAATTGGTAGTTAAAAATATTTATAAACATGTTTTATGTAAGTAGAAACAAAATTTCTCTAATATATCTTATATTTCATAAATTATGATTAAAAAGCTACTTATAAGTCATCTCAAACGAGTCCAGTCTTTCTTATGAAACATATAATATTTGCATGAAGTGGTTTCATATTTAAATTAAAGCTTGTTAATTAATGATCAAATAGATTATGCTATTATTCAGTGTCGTGTCATAGTCATCGCCATTATTTTTCTAAATTGATCTGACACCAACAACCTCCATATTTATCTCCTGCCCAGTCAAAAAAAAATATCTACATTCTTTTATGAAACAACATATTTTTGCAAAATTAACACCTCCAGCCAATAACAAAAGATACAAAATAGGTTGAAATCTTAAATCCTCTCAGTCTTTTAGTTAGTAGCAACATGAATAGTTTGATCCGCTAGAGCTCTGGAAAATCATGCATCCAATCCAATACCAGCAAGGGGAGAGATAAATGTTGACAGATTCCAAAACAATGGATCGATCGCAGTACAGATTAGTCTTATGCATAACCTTTTTGTATTCATCTTCGATTTTTTTTTTTTTTTGAAAATAAAGGTATGATATTAAAAAGAGGTAAGTTCTTTGAAAGTTAAAGCCATGTGACTGGACTGAGATGATACTCAAATATTAAAAAGTATACACTTTTTCAATCTATTTCTTTGCTATGGTCAATTTCTTTTCTTCGTTCTTTGCCATTTCTGGTTTTGCTTTTCCTTCGTTATTATTCCTCTGCACATATGGTGGATCGCATTCACAATTTACACAAAGACAGGTAATAAGACTAAGAAATAAAAGAGAATTAAAAAGCAAGAAAAACCTCAAACACCAAGTTCGGCAGCATTTCGCTTCTGCTCTTGCTCCATCAGATAGTATCGCCGCCGCTGCCGCCGCCAGGGCGAATTCATGCTCTTATGACTTTCTCTGTTTCGCAATCAGTAACATATTCTAGATCTCACGCAAAACTTATCACACATTACGTATTATAGATCGACTAAGAGCGGCGATTTCCCTGTCGTCTTCAGATCCGAAGACACCTTGGGCAGCGGAGACACGGGCAACCTCGCAGAGAAATTCCTGAAGTCGCCCGCAGGCCTATCGTCGTCCATCGCATCGTCTTCGAAATTCAGAGCATAACTGAGCGCATCGTAATGGAAATCGGCCGAGTGCCTCCGGCGGTGGCGGCCGATCCGGGAGATGAAGTTGCTGCACTTCTCCTTCAGATGAGGAAGATCAAAAGAGTGGGAAGGCCTGTGCTGAAGTGACGAGCTCCGAACCAGTTTCGGCTTCACCGTGTGGCGGTGGCGGTCAGGGTCGTGGTGGTGGAAGCAGCACAAGAAGCACAAGGAGGATCTGAGTTTGTCCTTGAAAGAGAGGGGCGATTCAGGAGCTTGATCGTCCGCCATGGACGCAGATCGAGAGACGGAAAGAAGGAAAGTAGATTTGTGAGTGTACTGCAGCGCTGGGATTTTTTCACTTAGAGATGTGGTTTGAAATGACGAAAAGGGACGCGGGTGTCGCGGGGATGAGGGAAGTTTCGATTTCGGAACGCCGTGTATGGCCGTGGGGATTAAGTGGAGGGGTATTTTCGTCAATTGGATTGACGAATATCGTACCAGTTAGTTGCAACTTGCCATTTGCGTAACTGTCAAATTTCTTTCTCCAATGCTTACCTCTGAGCGAATATTTATGTTCCCTATAAAATAAATTCCATGACAAAAATTTTTAATCAAAAGAAAAAAAAATTAAAAATCACTAATAATAAATAAATAAAACTATCAATGTTATTACAAAATATAAAATTTATAAAAAATTGCATTATCCACGTTGTGAATAATGCAATATGTTTATTATACCCTACACAATATATGAGGTCTAATAAAATCTAAATTTGATTATAATGACAATTTTTTAATCGATCAAACTAGAAAAATAATTTTGTGAGGATAATGTGATTAAACATTCCTACTGTGCAAGTATTTCCTCATCATTACCCTCTACGAATCATCGAGATGAATAAGTTTTAAACACATTCACCAATTCGAATATAGCTTTGTTATTGGCTAATGTTAACTATTTTTTTCATGCGATAGCTATTATGCTCCTCTGCTCTTAAATATAAACTCTTAAGTGTGTATAAAATTTTATATTTAAGACCGGAAGAATATATCCTAATGATTTTTCCTCTTTTTGTTCGTAATGAACACAACACTAAATAAAAAACTCAATCTTAAAAGACTTGTTAGGAGAGAGAGCCTCCTAATCTTATGAACCATGATCATATTAACAACTAAAAGGGCGTGTAAAATGTGCAGAAACTAACTAACAACTAAAATCCTAAGTATAAAATCTTCCAAGAGGATGGCTCTTTACTTTGAAGGGGGAATATTTACGACAACATCGTCAACATCCATTCGATGATCTTGCTGGGTTAGAGAATCAACGAGATAGTTAACTTTTCTTGACATAAGATCAAATGAATCAATTTAATTACGCAATAGAACGTTACGAGTTTGTCTAATCTAATCATTGAGGGAGAGTGATTATATACTCCTCCAGTTCTTAATATAGGACTTAATTGTTGAGTTGGTTTTGGTCCTAAATATAAGATCTATTTTTTATATTTATCAGTTTTTCCTAAATTACCCCCATAGATACTCCCTTAATCATAATCAAATAGAAAAGGGAGGAAGGATATTAAGAAAAATAATTATGGTATTTTAGGAAAAAAATATGTTATAATTTTTATAATTAACTAACTTACCTAACTTTTTTAATCTAATCAAATTAATTAAATAGGTTTTATATTGAAAATCAGAAGAGTATTATTATACCGGTGTAGATGAGATGCAGAGCTTCGGCAGAGTTGCTAAACATAGCAATTATGTAGTAAAAGTGGTTCCAACTTAAATATATACCTTTTTTTTTTTAATTTCTGATAGAACCAAGTTTTCAAATTCCTTTGCCATCTCAAAATATGAGAAAAATTACAAGGGGATTTTTTTTGGCTAAAGTATATGTATCCTTTCATTAGAAGTAATTATATTCGAAGTACTCTCAGACATAAATGTGAGTAACTTTCCTAACAGAAATTTAAATCTTGATTTGTCACGTATGAGGGATTAGCTTTTTTTTGCCAATCCAACCTGTTGGTTTACAACACGATTTGATTGTCTTAAGGCATGCGTCTTCTGGAAAACAGCAAGCTGACTTGTTAATTGGGGCCATGAGATTACATGGACGGATGATGCTCGAATGAATGTAGAGAGAGTTAATAGTTGGGTCATATAGTTGTTGGGCCCATAGTTAGTTAGGCTTCTGTTATTTTAATTATTTGGTATGAGTTGCGCTGTATGTGCGTGCGTGTGATCCAGAGTATTATGAACAGGTTTGTATGAGCTGGGCTCTTCGCCGGGTCCAACACATCCAGATCTGCCCAAAATAAGTTTCTGCAATTTTTTGTCCTCATAATTTTTTTTCTGGTTACATGAGGGGCGGGAAACCCCTTCTTTTTTTTTTTTATCCTCGTAATTTTGATTTGGGTGTAACTCGATTATAAACTTTATTACTTTATACTGATACAATTTAGTTTTGATAGTTTTAACTCAATTATAATTTAATCATTGAACTTGATGCAACACAATTCTTATAATTAAACCATATAAAATACTAATCCTTATATTTTAGAAAAAATAAAATTTATGTGTTTCAGTTAAAATTATATGGATTGAATTGTGCCAAGTCAAAACTTAAGTACTAAATTACCCGATCAAAACTATAGGAGTACTAAAGGATTAATTTTCATTAAGTTCTTCGTAGTATCCATGATTAACAAAGTAATCGAATGAGAATCTTTATAATGCCCAACCAAATTATGCAAAGAGAAGACGCATTTGTTTGGTTAATAATAATTAATTGCCTTCAATTGATCTTAATTTATTAATGATTAATTTGAAATATATAAAATAGATGACTCAGAAATATAAGGTGGCCTCTAAAATAGAAAAATGCATCAAAATTGATAAATTTTGCACCATTATTTTTCATTTTTATGGACATATCATATAAGGCTCCCATTAGTTTCTTCTTTTATTTTAATTGGATGAAGGTGACTCTGATCTCATTTTTAGACTTGATTGACGATAACCATTATGAGCCTCTCTTGAACGCGAGTCGCCTTTAAATATTTTGGTATCACTTTAAGATTTGAAGACTTGTTTGGCGGGGGAAAAAAAAAAGATTTGAAGACATGTTATATCACGCAATATATATCTATATACACATATATTTATATATATTTGGGAGAACCATACATTTTTTTTAATTTTTAATTTTATTTTGTTAACATCGTTAGTTTGTAATTTTGTTGTGTTAACATAGCAAAGTTACAATTTACAGAACAAAACTAATAGATTTACTAAAAAAATGTATAACAAAGTTAAATTAAATGATTTAATAAAAAATATAAATACAAATTAATAATTTAAGAAAGGGGAAATCTCCAAAAAAAAAAAGACCATAAAAATTGCAAAATTTTAAATTACAACTCATTACAAGACTTATATAGGTTCTGATAACAATCAAATAACAAGTAATAACAAATTTCTGACAAAATACTAATTTGTAGTTGTTCACTTTTTTAGAAAAAAAAATTTTCCTAAAAGAAAGGTATCGGTTACTCCTACATTTTTTTTTAATGTTATCTCTATATTTTAAATTATTTATCACATGGAAGTGGGACCCACTATATTTTACATTTTTTTTTTGGATATCTGTAAATGCGTATCTTGAGGATCCTCTATCGGTTAGGTAACCACTAACCACTTTGGTCCAACGTATCAATGTGAGTCTATAAATATAATATACAATGTCCGTCCAAATATAATGGTCCTCATAGGAGAGGCATCATAGCTCAATAATTGTCTTTTAATTTACAATTTTAATCATAATTCTTACATGCAAACCAGATCATTAATCAATTATTAATTTCACCTAATCAGTAGTAGTGGAGAATGGAGATGATGGATTAGTGGTATGTAGCCAAAAAAATGAAAAGCGAAAAGGCCATGAGATGGTGAGCACCTATTTGGCTATCTTTTGTTTTTAACAATAGAGAAAAATTAATATTTTGATCTTTCAAGTTCTAATTCACTTATAACTTAGTTCTTGAACTTTTAGTTCTTTTAGAACTCAATCCTTAATCTTGTCACAATTAATAATTTAATTCTTATAACGCATAAGTTATTTTGAGTCATCAATTAAAAATCTTATGTGACAAAAAATATTTTGGAGATTTCAACGTGGCAGAAAAAAGAGCTTGGATTAGGCTAACTTCAAGGTAGACAGAAAAGGGATTCTAGCTTTAAGGTTAGTCCAATGGCAAAGACTTAACCTATGTATTCTGATAGAAAGTGGATTTAAATTGTATTTATTTTGTGAAAATCTTCTCAGTAGATCACTTGACCTTGCAAAGAGCTCTTGCATTTGTAGGTGCAGGGTGTTAATAGCTCTGCGATTTAATAACATGAAACTCCCTATCTAAATGAGAAGTCTCAGCGCTTATAATCTTAAATTTATAATACCCATACTTTTAGTCTTTAACATAAAAATTATTTTAACGGGTTATAAGTATAAAATCACAATTAATCCTGTTTTTCAAATTTATAATGTTTTAACAAAATATTCTTATTGATTGCGAGGATTCCTACCAAGTGATGGCTCTAATGCACATAGTTAAAGTTTTTTTAAATTAGATATCTAATTTTTATATTAAAAACTAGAAGTAGTAATAAAACTTTAGATATTAGATGCCTTAGCTCGATTGATATGAAGATATATTTTTTGTGAGTAATTTATAATTGTCCTGGCCCAACAATTCATGGGATCCAGCTTCCTGTTAGTTTTTGATTTTGAAGCAGCTAAATGTTTTTTTTTTTCTCAAAAATATATTAATCATACATATTTAAAATAAGTACATTTATAAAATCCGCAGATCTTAATATCATTTCCACTTCTTAAATTTGATAAAGGTTTTGACCCTTTTTATTCCATTCCATTCGGTGAATCTGAAATGTGATGCTAGTACGTTTTTTGTATGCACGTGCTATTTGGTTTGGAAGCACAAGCCTCTCAACCTTCAAATTCTGATTGCAAGTCCAAAAAAAAAAAAAAGTTCTAAACACTGTTTGGCACAAGAGGAACCTGCTACTGTACGCAGGCACAATTTTAAATCCAGAGAAAATCGATCAAGAAATTAAAGATGAGCCTTCATATCTTCAAATGGCTTTTAATTTATTAGCAAGTAACCTACCAATTAAAGCTCTCTATTCGGACACCTTACCAACACAAGGATTATCAATCTTAATGAAAAGAATTATAGGAGGAGGTATACATCCTGCTATCTTATTATTCCCTCTAGAGGAAAAGTTATTCACTCATTCTTTGTTAACAGTGTTTTTTCCACTTTGTTGGTTTTCTTTTTATTTTCCTCTGTATTTAATTTTTGCTTTTGTTATTCTGCTGCTACTGTAACTCTTTAACTCTGTATGCTTTCTTATTTTTAATATCATTTTGCTTTTTTCTAAAAAAAAGAGTACATTATTTATTTTTTATAAAATGATCGTAATTTCTGAAAGTTATTTTCCTTTCTGTACAATTAATTACTCAATCCCTTTTAATCCTCTACTCTTATTTCAAAATACTTCACAATCATCTTTAATAAGACATGTTATTCTGATTCTTAAAATCTTTATTTTCAACGTGTTTGGAGAATTCTCCAGTTTTTACTTTTTATGCGGATGTTGGTCTGAGATCACAAGACAACATCTGAGAATATGATCCTAATTAGCATGATGCCTCTTGATGCTGCCGATAAAGTATTCCATTCTTAAAAACGTTTTGTCGTTGTAGTTCAGTTTCCCAATATTCTCTTTCCTCACTCGTGTTTTCTTCATAATTTAATAATACTATTTCTATTTGTCGAAACAAGAGTTATTTAATTAATTTGAATAAAAATATACTCTTTTAATTTTTAATATAAGACTTATTTCGTCAATTTGATTAGATCAAAAAAGTTAGATAAGTTAGTTAATTATAAAACATATGATATATTTTTTTTTCTAAAACACAATAATCATTTTCCTTAATATCGTCCTCTCTCTCCTATTTGATCATAATTGCGTGAGAATCAATAGGGGTAATTTAAAAAAATTGATAAATATAAAAAATAGGTCTTATATTTATAGTAAAAATTAACTTAATAATTAGGTCCTATATTAAGGACTGGAAGAATATAAGACCTCAATGCATTTTGTCTCTCCAAATCTATAATGTTTTATCTAAAATATCCTTATTGATTATAAGGTTTTCATCAAGGAATAGTTCCAAAATTCCAATACATATTATTAAAGATAGTCCTCTAGTCTTATTTGTAGGGTAGAAAGAGAAGGTATTTTTTGATCTTATTTATAGGCACTGAGAGAAATTTTTTGTATAGATGCACAATTTTACCCTTCATTTATTATTGTGTTGATTTTGTTTATATGAGATATAATATATATTAAATAGGGATAAAGTTGGAAAGTCATTGAATTTTAAATAAGAGTTAATGAAGTTTAAGGTTTTCCTTAGTTTGTATGAAACATACTGGAAATGCTTTATAAATAGGACTAAAGAAGTAATAGTTAAGGCAAATCAACACAATTATGACAAATAACGAACTTAACTAATTTTTTTAATCTCTCAAAATTAGTTATTCAACTCTTATACTAAAGACCAAAGGTAATACAATCAATAGGGATACTTTGAAAAACAAATGGTTAATACTCCTCGATCCTTAATATAAAACATCTTTAATTAATTTGATTATATTAAGAAAGTTAAGTAAGTTAGTTAATTATAAAAAATATAACATGTTTTTACCAAAACACTATAATCGTCTTTCTTAATATCCCTCTCCCTCTTCTATTTGATTATAGTTGAGGGAGTATCCATGAAGGTAATTTAGGAAAAATTAATAAATATGAAAAATATGTCTTATATTTAGAACCAAAATCAACTCAATAATTAGGTTTTATATTAAAGACCGGAGGAGTAGTATTTTTAGTCCCTCACCTCATTTTGATTTTGGTTTTCAAAATCGGAAACCAAATGGTTTTGATGGTCCTTAAAATTTGATTTTATTTTGGTTTGCCTAAAGATCTCTATAACATTGTTTCAAGAGCCAAAATTATTGATTTTGAAATTTCATATGTTAAAATCAAAATAAGATTAAATTTTAAAGATTAAAAATTGTATTAATCCAAAAGTGAATTATAAATTCAGAAGAGAAAATAAAACAAAATTTTATATTTAGATGACTAAATTTAACTCCTAAATAGCTGTTAGATTAAAAATAGAAGATATTATTTATTTGATTATTAAAAAAAAATTTTGAGGGTCACATCTCACGTGAGTGAAGGCTCAGCAGCGAAGAGTACAGTGTGGTGGTGGGATCGGTTACGACTGTTCTATGAACGAAGCTACCCTGTGAGTGACCCCTCACCTTCATCGAAACTTCCTGCTTTTCTCCAACTTCTCAACCATCCATCTTCTCTTTCTTCTTTCTTCTATATATTTTCTCTCATTTCTCTCTCCCTCTTTTTTCATTCTTAAACCTGCAATTCTGATTTCTTCCCTATCTCCACCAAATCTGAAACATCGAAGCATGACCCAATTTTGTCTCCCACCTCCTATTTAATTCCTTTGTCTTCATCTTCTTTCAATTTGCCTTCAATCGAACGAATCTGCTTTTCCCTCTCATTTTCTCGAGAAATTATCGGTCCCCCTCAATGGCTGGTATGCTTGCTGGAGTCGAATCAGCTCGAAGGAGACGCTTCCATCAGAGCGGGGCGTCCTCTGATTGCCCTTATTTTACCAGACGATCTTCCTTCTGCTTATATTCAACCAATCACGACTTCCTACCTTCCTCTTCTTATTTGCAGGTTGTGGTCTTTTTCTCTTTTCTCAGTCTCGCTTTTCTTTCATTTATAGTTCTGCTTTTGTGACTCGTGCTTAATTAGATTCTGAATCTGAAAATGAACAGAAAAGAAGCGTATTACACCATGCGCGCACAGATGAAAAGCTCGCAGGAGCAGCCGGGGAAGCCAAAGAAAGATTGGATGAGAGATTACGATCAGCTCAAATGAAATCATCGAACAAAAGGTATTTCATGATTTTTCTTCATTAGTCAGAATCCAGGGGATTTGTAAAGCATATAGACATAAACGATGTGAGTTCAAGACGTACAGAAGGAGATAAAAGAAAAAACCCCATATTCTATATTATTAGATCTGTATTCTATATTATGTTGGCTTGCTGATGCTAAGAAATTAATGAACAGAATGACGTAGGCGGAATTAGTGAGACAAAATTGGGCAAACACCAGTCAACGAGAACAGCTATCCTTTCAATTTTCTTAAAGTTTAAATTAATCAATACTAATAAAAATTTGCAGTAGTCTGAATCTTTTTCAAAGCTCTTACGTTTATTTTGAATTCCATCGGAAGATAAGTATTTTCAATGTTCCAGCCAAGGAAACCCTCCTTCTTTTTGGTAGATTGCTAAATTCATTCATCCCAAGCTACTTGTATGTAATTTGTTTTCCCCCCTTATCTCTAGGCCAACAGATTGATTGATTTTTTTTAATTTCTGGGCCAACAAATACTTTAATAAACAACAAACCAGCAAAAACAAACAGTGAATCTCAAGGATATTAGAATCTTGATGAATCTTGTGAAGTATATAGGAGTATATAAAGTTAACATCGGTTTTGCTAATCGGTGTCTCTAAGACCCAACTCCATTGAAAAATAACTACGAATAAATCAGTTTATGACCAAACCAGGCAGGAATGTGGTTCTTTTCTGTACTTAATCGTGAAGCTTGCCATTGATTGACAGGGAAAACATCAAAGAAAAGAAGAAAAGCAGAGAAGGAGGACCAGAGTTACACATAGAGGTCTACGGATCAAAGAGAAGTGGTGGGTCGAGGATGATGTTCAATTGGAAGAAACTGGGCTGGAAGGCTTCAGATCAAGAGGATTGTGCTGTGTGCCTGGAGTCATTCAAGGTTGGAGATACACTGATCCATCTTCCTTGTGCTCACAGGTTTCATTGCAACTGCTTGGAGCCATGGCTACAAAATAATAGTTATTGCCCATGTTGCAGAACTTCCATAATTATATCTCACTAGACATCTCATCCCTTTCAAGTCGTGCACTTTTTTAGTTCCCGGTAAGAATTTGGGATCGTGATGATGAATTGATGGGTTTCTTCTTTGACATATGCGGCATATGGGTGGGTGATCTGTAAATTAGATTAGCACCTTCCATTCATTGAGAATGTTTGCTAAATCCGAACTGAGTTTCTGAATGTGAGGAAATGATAAAGAAGATTTTAAGCATGTGATCCATTCAGTTATGTAAAAAAGTATTTCTGTGTAGACTTGTTTTGATAAATTATCTCATGTAGTATATTTTGTGTATTTGATTTACTTCTGAACATCTGTTTAGTGTGCTATACGTTTAACCAAAAAGTGGGAGGATCCAGCTAGCAGGAATATACTGTCTAACGAACAGATGCTGAAATTGAAACTATATAAATTGGACTGTGGGTGTTTGGATGTATAAGCGGAAAAAAAAAGAATCTTTTTTCCTCAAAAGTCAAAACCATAGTTTTGAAGAACATCCAAACGCCCCATTCAAATCCAAGAATTGATTAATTATGTCAGAATATAGTTTCAAGGCCAAAAACGTGGTTTTTCATGAAGCTGGGGTAGTTAGCTTTTGAGAAAAATAATGACAATGTCAGCGGGCATCATACCAAAATTACCTTCCATTCAGCTGCAAATCTTCTCTCTCTCTCTCTCTCTCTCTCTCTCTCTCTCAATTATCACATTAACTCATGTTTTTTTAGTAATTTAAATATAAAAAAAGATTTTCATAACAACTGTCCCAATATTTTTATTTATTAATTTCATTTTTTAATGAAATATATCTACTCAAAATCTATTTTTCAAAATCACTTTTTTATATACTCTCCTATTCCTTATTATAAGAGATAAATAACCGAATTACGTTAATAAAAAAACAGTTAAAATTAGTTAAGAACAATTAATGTGTAAAAAGTACAATTTTTCCCTTAAAAAATACCCTCATTAATAAAGAAAGAGAGTATAAGAGAGAACAATTAAATTATTAAAAGAAAGAGAAGTGGAAGGGAGAGAATGTGTGAGTTGGAGACAATAAATATGGGTAAAATAGGAAATCAACACAAAAAAGTAGAGGCAACTTTTAAGTGTCTCTTATATATAGGAACATGCTATAAGTATCAAATGTCTCTTATAATAAGAAACGGAGGGAGTAACATTTATTCAAACTCAATTTTTCAAAAGTTAATCTAAAAAAGTTTCTTTTCATTCTAGATCTTATTTCTAGATTTATTTTCAGCTTCATTTTATGACTTGTATCTTGAAAAAAAAATTGTGGCAGAAGACCCCGAGGTACTTGAAATTGGTTAAAATTAGGTTTCTTTTTTCATATAATTGAGACCTTTAAGATATTTAACACACTTAGTATGAATGCAGAATTTCTCAGTCGACTAATAAGCTGTTAGTTGAGATGGTAAGCGATTTTATTCTCATAGGAAGAAGAATATAAGTTTAAGTTTAGAGAAATATACTTGTTGAGAAGGTTTTAACTTTAGGGCTTTTGACTCAATAGAAATTTTTATATAAAAAAAAGAATTTCTCAGTCAATAATTACTTTTAATTGAGAAATCAATTGAGAATTATATTAGTTATGTTAGTCATTGAAATTCGTTTGATAACTGATATTATTTTTAATTAGGGAGAAATACAGCCAAGTCCCATATAAAGGATTTGTTCATATGTAGGTCCGTTTGTCAAAAAAAAAAAAGAGCAAATAATGATTAATGTTGTAGCATTGTACGTGATATTATAATTGTCAATATTAAAAGAATCATAATTTTTTATAAAATTAAAAAAAATCATAATTAAAAAGGATCTGAGTGGAAGAAATTAAACTTGGTTATAATTCTGCCTAAAAAAGTATTGAGGTGAGCCGGTTATTCGCATGGTCGATTAGTATCTAAATCAAGTATTTACATTTTATATCTTTTTTATTAAAAGAAGTTAATTGTAAACAAAAAATTAGTTTTGCAACAAGATCCCAGTATCAAAATTATTAATTTGAATAACTAATAAAGAGTTGGTAGGGCTCTACTAGATTCCTTTAGGTCTCGAGTTTGAGTCTTAAAGGAGGTATTTTATACCAAGAAAAAGCTACGCGATTAGCCAGATGATAACATTAGAAAAAAAATTGTTAATTTGAATAACCATTAGGTTAAAATATTTGACTAAACTTCTCAAATTAAGACCCCCATTCTTTCTTTCAGTTCTCAATTGTTGTCATCGTAATTTTTTTTAATTTATTTGTCCTTAAATTCAAGATTAGATGTAAATGAGCGATTTCATACTTGATCATAAATACGGAAATTCGGTTTTTTAATTATATCCTACCTTGTAATGAAATTTTTTGTTTTTCCTTGTTGGCCGTAAGCATCCATATGTCATATCTAATGCCCAAAATGTCATTAATTAATTAGTGAAAAATTTTTTATTCAAGCTCGTTGTTTATCATCTATAAAAAATAATAATGGGAGGGAAAAAACCATCTTCCACGTAGTATTATATACTTTCTCTCAATTTTTAATTTAGTGCCTTCATGTTTGGATGAAAAAAAAATTAAAAAGAAAATAATACTAGGAGAGACACAAATTAAGAAAATCTCGGAGTTTTCTTTCTATTATTCCCTGTCTATTTTTCCCCCGCTTTTCCTCCTCCAAACATATTATATGTGTATTTTTTCTCTCTTAATTAAATAATTTAATTTGCTTTATTAGCATTGTTAGCTCCTATATAAGGGCTAAGAGTGCTAATTGAGCAAACTTACAAGAACTAATAATGCTAATGAAGTAAAATTAAAGTATTAAAAATATATGGATACTAAATTAAAAATTAAAGAAAAATATAGGTACTTGTAAAATAATTTTTTTCTGTATATAAGTGAACAAAAAATCGTTATATCTGACCCCTAAAATCTGTTTTAATTAGCATTCAATGTTAACACTCTAAAGTATTTAGCACAAAGTATTTTTACATGTATTTGGTGCGATTTTTCCTTTAAAATTTAGAAAAATTGCAATTAGATCCCATCTAAGAGAATAAAATACAAAAAATCCCTTAAAATCATCAAATTATTTTGAAGTCCAAAGGGATTTCATTACAATAAATTTTATTTGTTTAATTATCAAATTACTCTTTCTTTTAAAGTTTGTATTCACAACTGAAAGAGCAGTCGTTGACAACTTAAAGTGTAATGATTAACAACTATTGCGACATGTATTAACAATTGATGTGCTGAGAAAATGTGTTATCAATACTTACTACGATAGTTGTCAATCCTATCTTAAGTTGTTAACAACTGTCTTTTCAGTTGTAAATGCAAACTTAAAAAAAAAAAGACAATTTAGCAATTAAACAAATGAATTCTCTTGCAATAAAGTCCCTTGGGATTTTAGAATAATTTATAATTTTAAGAGACTTTTTTGTATTTAATTTTTTGTGTGACTGTGTTGCAATTTTTTCCTTAATTTTTTTTAAGAAGTATTACCCTAAGCTTAAAATACTAGTGCTATTGGAGAAAATACTTTGGAATGATAGCCATGCTAAAATATTTTTAAGATATTTAATGTGGTTAGAAAAATACTTTTCTGGTCCTAAATATAAAATATATTTTATAATACTACAAAATGGATCTAATATGTAGGATTGGAGGAGTACTTTAAAATATTAAATGTATAAAAAATTATTTAAAATATTGAACATTACTGAAAGAATGCTTTGAATGTTTCCTAACCCTAACAAATTCATATATTTTACTTTTAATTAAAATTTGAAGAATTTATGATATTTGAATAGTAAGTTAATTCCCCAAATGTGAAAAATTCCATCCCAAATATTGTACAAGTAATGTTTTTTTTCCCTTTTAACGTCAAGATAAAATACATTACCTAACAAAACATTATAATTTTTTTTGGATTAATATAATCTTTGATCCTTCAAGTTTACTTTCATTTTAGTTTCAATTAATCAAATTTCAAACAATCAGTTTTGATCCCTCAAAAGGCAAAATGGTCCAAGTTTTGATTGGATTATAGAAACCAATGTTTTGAATGAAAAGAAACCTCAGAACCAAAACTTATAGTTTAAAACTTGAGGAATCAAAACTAAAATGAGAGTAAATTTGAATGATCAAAATTTATATTAACCCCTTTTTTTTTTCCAAAAAAAGAATCTTCAGTTGCTAAACGACGCCGCCGCGAGGTCCCGGTGAATGGCCACCTCACCTCCAACGGCTAGTTTCAGCTTCAAGTGACCGTTTTCTCAAGAGCACATCGACGCTAATTCAAATTCCCAGCCCAACCTCCTGAAGCACCGTTTAGAGAAAACGCTCTTCATTGAATTGACTTTGCACCATTTCTAATCTTCCCAACTTCGAAACCCAAAACCTGCAATAAAGTTGAATAAGTCCGTGCAAAAAGCTTCAATTTTTTGTGTGTCAAATCTCTCAGGGATTCTCGTTCTCGATCTGATAACAACAATTCGAAAATGGTCTACTCGTACACACCCACATACTACTCCACCCTCCAAGACTCCATTACGTCTCTGTGCAAGACCATTCTCCCTTTCAGCTTCAAGAAACGGTGTTTGCCAGCATCGGAGCTGAAGCTGTCGAAGCTGCAATCCGATAATCTCAAATGGCAGCAAGATTCTTTCCACCAGATTCTGAATCTCATGGGTCTTCACAAAGAAGGAATTGTAGCTGAATCCGAGGTTGTGGCTTTCAGAACAAATCTGCTCGAGAAACTCATTGCTTCTCCACCAGATCATGAACACCACGTCGTGTTGAGGGATAAATTACTCTTCTTGCAGGTATGTTTAAAGGTTAAAACTTTACAGCCAAGTGGGCTTTTCATGAATGGGATCAAATCTTAAATTATACACCCTTTATGTGTGTGTGTGTTTGTTTAGGAGCTTCTTTATGCGAAATGCATTTCTGAGGAAGAGTACCATTCTTCGAAGAGGCCGTTGCTTCAGAGATTGGCAGTTCAAGGCGCTGAGATTGAAGCCCGAGATGTGATCGTGTCCGGATCGAAAGAGATGAAGGAGAGTTCAGAAGAAGAATGGTCGGTGATTGACTTGAAGGACGAGCAATCATTTATGAACAAAGAGAACATAAATTCAAAGATCAAATCAAAGAATATTAAAGGAGCATCCTCTGTTTTTGGCTTCGTTTCTGCTTACAAACCTGGAAAGAACAGAACAGAGAAGAGCATATTCGAATCCCCTTCTTTGGGTATGGATTCAAGGAACGAACCAATGAGTCCAAAGGGCAAACAGAGCTCGATTCTTATGGAGGAAAGTGGACCCCCGGAACCCATGAAGGAAAGCTCTGGTGCAGAAAAGCTGAAGAGGAAGCCATTCAAAAGTCTGTTTCAGAAGGAACAGAGAGATGGCCCTGAAGCAACAAAAAAGCATCAATGGGGTTTTGATGGGTTCAAAAAATGGAAGAAAAGTGAATCAGAAGATGAAGCACCTTCATCTCAAGGTACCATAAGAACCCTTGGGGAAGGACCAGACACCAAGCTAATTAAGAAGAAATTGCATTCTGATGGCGCCCCATCTGATTTTTCATTGATAAGGTTTGATGGGGGTCTACCATTTTCATCAAAATCTCTGAATCCCGTACTTTTCTGCTTGTTGAACCAATTATTGTCTGTGATGAACAGGTTTTGGGGGAGAGAGGATAAAGAAAGAACTGTCAAGAATCCAGACAGAACTGAGTACTACAAACCCAAGTCTTCAATTTTCGTATGTATTCTCAACGATAATCCATTTTCATTGTTTAATTTGAATTTGAATATATAGTACTTGTTTTCTGATTTGGGGTCGCATGAACAGGAATGATCAAATGGAAGAGATTTCAACAAAACTTCCTGTGGATAAGGCCGAGTTGAAAAACTACTTTCCAAAGTAAGTGAACAAACTTAGCTGTTAATTTTATGCTTTAGCTTACCATCCCATGCGATCTGAACAATATTAAAAGAAAATATGCTTAAGCCGTCTTGAAATAAAATATGAGCACTAGTGGTTGCGGTATTTGCTCAGTTATATCATTAATCTAGTACTCGTCCGGTCTTAAATGTAAGACTCTTATATACACTAGTATAAGGGTCTTACATTTAGGACCAGAGGAGTATATTATTACTTTATCCTTTTATTGGGCTTTTGAGCTGAATTCTATACCATTTACTTTTTGGGCTGTTTGGTTAGGTCGTTTCTTTGAAGTTAATATATGAAAATTATCCACTTCAGGGTATATATATTTTTAAACTGCAAAGTCAAACTTTGTGACTCTTCATACCCTTAGTGTTGTAACAATTATCCTCATGAAATTCATATTGCATAACTTACTATTCATACTGTCGGTGTTGCGAACCATTTCCAAAATACTACAAAGGGTTGCCTCTATAAACGTAAGAGCTGCCATCCCCAGCTAACCAAACAAATCAAGTTGGGTTACTTCGATAAATAATAAAGTGCAGCTATATATGCAACAAATTACACCCCCCCCCCCCAAATCTTGTCAACCGGATTTTTTTTTTTTTTTGCATGTCTTGTGAGGGTAACAACCTTCCACATCTTCAATCACATAAATTTTCTTATTTTGGAATTGAGTTTCTATCCACATGGGCATCTACATTAGAATAATTGCTGATTACATAAAGTGGAGCTTTGCGAACTTAGATTTGTGAAGGAGTGAAAGCAAAATATTCCCATATTGATACATGAATTGGCAAAGAAACTTAAAACAGTGAAATGCCAATAGTACGGGGAAATGGTATTAGACCAAATGTTGAGTCCAAGCTAATTGAAAATATGTTAAGAAGTGAAACCTTGGCATCACAACGTTATGGATTGAACTGTAAAAGGGGATGTTTGCATTAATCCTGCACGACATGAATGCTTGTGCCTAGCTTGGCAAATGTAAAGATTGAAATGTTCATATATGCTCATGCATGCGTTGCAATTAAGCCATATTATGGTAGCAGCAGATTCAATGATTACTTGTTCATGAACTTATTGTAGCCGCCATTGCCAGAATCTCAATTTCAAAATAAGAAAATATATTCCGGTTTAAGATGCGGGAAGATTTTGTCATACATGCAAGACTTGTAGAAACCAAATCCATATATAGCTTCATTTTGTAGATGATAGTAACCCAACTTCAATTATTGGATATAGGATTATAACAGAGTTCGATGTCACTTCTAACCTTTTCCCAATCCGTTGGATCACCTCACATCCACTCTCATTTTACACTAAAGATTTTATCATATCATTTCTCATTTATTGATAGCCACCAACAGTGTTGAATCAGATGCTAAACATTGGTTATGAAAGTCCACTCTCATTTTACACTAAAGATTTTTATCATATCATTTCTCATTTATTGATAGCCACCAACAGTGTTGGAATCAGATGCTAAACATTGGTTATGAAAGTCAATAAGATGCCCCCTCTTCACCCGAAAAAGTAGCCACTTGTCTGAAATAATTTTTAAAAGCACAGCACCAACACAAAGCGCTGGACAACCTTTGATGAAGATGGCGAAAACTTACACCCAAACCTTTTTGCTCATCATCAAGATAATAATAATAATACTCATTCCGCAGCAGCAACATCAATCCATTTTCTCATGGGAAGTGGAACTGAATGATTGAGCATGAATAAACTCCTCTGTGACCATACCATATCTTCATGGTTAGGCACACCAAGAGGACTTGTAACTATCTATATTATGTAGCTGGTCAAAAAAAAAAAAAAAAACTACTTATATTATGTATCTATATTCTATTGTAGAAACCAAAGAAGAACTTTGTTTCTTCCAAGTAAAGGAATCCAAATTCCTCTTGTCCTATGGACGCATTTATTTCCCATCTTTAGTCGGATCATCTGTTCATATCAACTTTTTCCATAAATTGAGTTTACCTCATCAACCATGTTTGGCTTGCTCTTCCTTTTCACAATCCGAAATTTTCTTTCCTAACCCCAGTTTTCCAAATGCCCTTCAAAATTGGATTTTCTATCCTAAGTTTTTGCCCCCATCACCGAAATTTTCTATCCTAAGTTTTTATATTCAATTGATCCAAATTGGATTTTCTATCCAATGTGAATTTCCAAAGGCAGTAATTTCCATACATTTAACCCCCATCATCACCGCACCGAAACGCATATGCAAACACAAAAAGGTCCACCCTGAAATTACAAGTGGATTTCCTGGGCTCCTGCATTCCTTGAAGTAAATTTCTATTTAACTAACAAGTTCTTTAGGAAATCATAACAAGATTCAGTTACAATCTCGTACTAATAGGATGCATTAGGAGCATCATTACCAAGGAGAAGAAATGAAGCTAATATTTACATGCATATGTACAACATCAGCGAGACAATGCTTCTGTGATTGAGCAGAAGACTCGGTGAACCGTCCTCCACAAACATTGCCACAAAGAGAGACACGCATACCCTGGTATGAGGAGAAGGGTAAAGATTATAGATACTGGAAAGATATAAAAGAATGACGAATCAAGTTTTAGTGACAATACCCATGTAATTTCCTTAGGCCACTTCCGTGTTTGAAGCAGAAGACCCGGTGAACCCTCCTCCACAAACATTCCCACGACAGAGAGGACATATACTGTGAATAAGGGGAAAAAAGATTATTGACATAATGGGAATTAAGAAAGATATAAAAGAACGAGGAATCAAGTTTCAATGACAATACCATGTATTTCCTTAAGCCACTTATCAACGCATGCCATGTGGAATTCATGATTGCAAGGCAGAACACGAATTTTGTCCCCTTCTTCATACTCCACCAGGCATATATGGCATCTAGCAAGTTGATCATCATAAACAACAGCAGTTGATGAGTAGAACAATTCTCAACTGCTAAACATTGTTTATAGCTATATTGGTGATGATAAGATTTATGGCAAGATTGTTATTTCAATTCTTTGGTTAACGTTGTTACGTTCAACTGTTTGTTTCTGCTAGATATGTTCAATTCTATGACAAATTTCAAGCTATTTTTCATCTTGTATATATCTTACAATGCGTACCATTCACACTATGAAATTTTGACCTTTGGATTGACTATTCGTATTGCCATTTGAGAACTATGTTTCCATCCCTTCAGTTTCAGTTTTATGCTAGACTAATAAACCAATAATAATAAAACCTAACTCAGCCCTCTTGAAAATTAAATTATGACCTCTCATATTTCAAATTTTCATAAGCATTGATTTTGTGCCTTTTGGTGAGTTGTAGTTGTACTGCATCAATTAGGCTATATGAAATTCAAGACGAGCAATGTGTAGGATACAAGCTTTGTAAACAAGTCCGTTAATTGAAGGGAAGTTTCTGTCAAATTGAAACCAGTAGAGTCGATTGTATCAAAACCCTCAAAGGAGGACAACATAATTAGCTTCAAATAAAAACAAAATTCTCAGATCAACTAGAAATTGTCGGATGCACTTAGAAAGTTGTAATTGACCTGCTAAATAACTATATTCACAAAGACAAAGAACCCCACCCCCAAAACAAAACAAGGAAAGGGTTCTAATTTGACTTGATTTGTGCGCACTTATTGATTTGTGGTAATTTCACAGTTGAAACAATGAGACTTACTGTTCAGTATTACTAACACCATCAGCTGTGCCAACCGTTTTGTGACACTTCAGAGGGAAAGCATCAACAACTGACTCTGGCGCTGGGAGAGAGGCCACAGATAGTGAAAATGGCGTGGGTTGGCGATGAACTTCATCTAAAAACTGCAGCCAATAGATAAATTGCCGACATTTACAAATCAGACTCTTTACACTTGAATAGAATATGGATATGTTAAAACCATTATATAATCTATTGATGAAACTCAAGTTTTATGGCTGCACAAAGCATGCTAACTGAAAAGAACTAACAGCTTGATAAACTCAGCAGGCTTCACTTGCATAATATCAGAGAGGCTTCGATTTAAGTTACTATCGCACAATGTAGATCACTTAATATTAGTGGATCACAGCTTGATTTCATATCCTATAAAGAGTAAAATAGCCACAAACAAAAGGTCGAAAGTGATAGCGACCCACTTTTACATGGGAGGTTATCTTTACACAACCAGTCAACCTAAATATTCATGATGACATGAACTCAAGCATATTGCAATTTTTAAAATATAGAATAGAATTTTCTGATTCAATTGAAGTGTCATTCTATTGGAGTTTCAATTGTATCTTAATGAACAGGATAGAGATAGGCATGTCACTCGTCTTGATCTCCACAGCGAAACAACAGAAAATATAGAACATTTAATCCACTGCTGTATGAACCCTAACCAACACAATATGAGTCAGCATAACTAGGAAAAGGGATTAAGGTGCAAATTTGCTCTGGATGTTTTCACTTAGGAGCGCTAGGTACCCGAAAGTTTTTTTTTGGAGCAAATTTACCCTAAAAATTTAAAATCATAGCAATATTGCTCCATTCCATTAAAAATGTTACGTTAGCTTTTTAACGGTATGAGGCAATATTGCTATGATTTTAAACTTCTAGAGGAATTTGCTCCAAAAAAACTTTTGGGTAACCAGCACTCCTAAGTGAAACCTTCTAGGGCAAATTTGTATCTTAACCCTACCCCATAAGTAAAACATTTATATTAAGCTAGAATGAAAAGATGCAAACTTGATAAATAGACGTGAATTTGCGGTGTTAGCATGCCAAAATATAAAGTTAGACAAGCAAGAGTTTACTGAGCATCGCATGGATCTCTGGTATTAGAAAGAAAACAAAAAAGGGAAATGCTTCTCCATGAAAAAAGTCATGAACACAACAGCCCAAGATAGCAACAGAAAGGGCCAAAGATAGTTAAAGAAACCCAAAAAACATGTAGAATGAATTATCATGAAATAAGACTGTGGAAGATGCGACTGAATGTTGGGTACAGAAATCAAAAGCTGAAATACATACAAGCAAGCAAATCAAGATGCAGAGTTCAAACTGATTCAGAGCGCCCCCCCCCCCCCAGCCCCCGGGGGGGGGGGAGTGTTGAGCACCAAAGAAACACTAATAAAAACCAAAACAGAAAAGAATAGGGTCGACAGCTTAAATGAATTGCAACTTAAAGCTAACATATTTGAGACTTGAGAGAGGGATACAACCTCAAATAAAGCTTCTGCAAGCATGACTATTCTTGACATGCTAGCTCGAGTATTAGATTCCTCGGACATGGAGAAAGGCTCACAGAAACACCTGCCATCAGGATGGAGTCCTAATGGACAAGAATTAGTCCACCGATCTGTTTCATTAAGGCCATCACGAAGTCTTTCCCAGATCTATATACACAAGGGAACCAAAATCCAGCTATCAAAGTCAAGTGGGAAAGAAAAGTGATTACAAGCACTCTATGCTAAAAATATTGAGAATCACCTGAGATCTTGAGTGCAGCATTCGTGCATTAGATCTGCGGATTCTACTGCCAAGATATTCAAAATCCTCTCCAACCTCATCATTTGAGAAACCACTGCTCAAATCAAGAAACCATTGGTCTTGAGATGCTATATCATCAGGATCACCAGCTGAGAAGACAATGGTTGGAGAAATACGAAACCTTCTTGAACTACGATTTGAAAAAGCATCCCAAAATGGTCTCCTACCATTTCTCCTGGTACTACGATCAATGGCATCAGTGTTGCTATAAGACAGAGTATTGGAAGATATAGTAACCACGTCAACATGAAGCACACCCTCATTCACATGTCCTCTTTCCCGGTCGGGAACAAGAAACCCTAAACTTGGAGGAATTGTTTCTTCATGAGATTCATTTTCTTGCAACAGAGAAGTTACAGGCAGATCTGAACCTTGAGAACTGGGACTTGAATCAGAATTCTGGGAAGCTATAGCTGCACTACTATGACTCTCAACATAATTTTCATGAGAACCGGAGTCTTCAGACACTTGAGGGGATGAACTCCTTAGATGCAATGTCTCATGAGATATTGGATGGATACTACTATCCACTGAATTATCAATATTATTAACTGCATCCTTGTTAGCGGAACTATTTACAGAGACTGGATCTGAAGACTTTTGTTCTACAAATGAAGCACTAGCTGTGTTGCTGCTATCCCTATAAGATTCATTATAACTATGATCAGTACTTACCTCATAAGGAGAAACTAACTCCTTTCTTTTAAACAAACACTCCCTCTGATTGCTGGTTGCAACACTTCTGGAAGAATCTTGAAGATTAGCATTCTCACAGGATTGAATACTGCTGCCAAAGGAGGTTCCAGTTTGACCATGTGAGCGGCTAATTCCAGCTTCTGTTGAATGTGATAAAGACGATTCCTCTGTAACTTTCTGAACTTGATCATTAAAGTCTGTAGCAGAGTCTACTAGAAGTTCAGTTGGATGATCTTCAATCTAAAATCAAAAATACAAGCAAATACTTCCGGCATCAATCTCTCTCAGTACCTCACAATAGGATTCCCTCAAAATTTTCACTTTGTTCAGACCAATTAACATGGTTCAGTGCAGAAATTCAAGCTCGAAACTACTATGATTCTAAAGGCTTATCATTAATGCACAATAGGATATCAACCGAGGGACCCTTACAATAAAACATAAATTTAGTGTGAGTACGAAGGAATACCATTATAAAATAAATGGAGCAAGAGTTCGATTAAAAATCTAGAATCATGTGAAAAATAATTTTTTGAGCTTCAAAGATTTAGATCATTCAGTGAATTCAATCAATTTAAGGATACAATATCTCAAATCCCAACAGAAATCACTAATATAGTTACATACAGAGTTCGACCAAAAATAGATTCCATCCTACTTCAACTGCATATCGTTGAACCTCTATGTAATTTTTCTCATGACGTATTCCAGCAATCATGAACATACGATTTCGACCTGATTACCCAATTCAGAAACAAGCGGATTATAATACTCGCCCATCACATCAACCAACAGAGAACGAATTCACTCATCCAAGATCAGGACGATACAGGATCATTTAAAGTATTAAAACACAAATGATTTCGGAAATCATTTTAGTTCATCTGAACAGCCTCGGGAATTGCCAAGTTGCACTATCAACTAAATAAGCCCAATCGAAAATTGGGTCAAACTGACTAATCTCGAATCCATCAAGCCCACCAATACAAAGTCTTTGCCAAGGAAAAATTTGCGTATAAACGGGATGGGTATTAGGGAAATAGGGCAGAATGAACAGTGGGAAAGGTGTACCTCATAAGTAGCGCGAGAAGTGGAGGCACCGCAGGGAAGAAGAGAGGAAAGACTGAAGCGGTTGGTGTGGTTGACTCGCCGAGAAGAAGGGCGAGAAACGTGTCGACTATTGGTACTACCCATGTTTGGGAGAGATAGTGAGGAAGAAGAGAGATGGAGCAGAAGAAAAATTGCAGAAAGAGAATGAAGGAGAGAGAAGGAGGGGAGAGATGGTAATGGCGGCCAGAGAAGTGAACAGTGCCCCGCTGACGTTGAAATGGAAGGCGACCGACTAGGAGCGTTTAATTTAAATTGAAAATTTTTTTTTATTTTGTGGACATTTCGGAGGGTTCCCATTTGGTGCTCATCAGGTGATGAGCACCCAATGCTAATCACCTGATGAGCAATCTGTACCGTCCAGATTTAATTTGGATGGTCCAGATTTAATATTATTAAATAATTATTTTAAAATAGAAAAAATTATATTTTTAAAAATGATAGTTATGAGATTATCTTTATTTTTTATCTAATACCTATTAAAAAATATTTTTTTAAATAAAAATAAAATAAATCTAGACCGTCCAGATCAGATCTGGACCGTCCAGATGGGTGATGAGCATTGGGTGCTCATCACCTGATGAGCACCCAATGCAAATCCCATTTCGGACAAGCAACTACCGCCCAATTTTCAACTTAACTAGATTTTATGCACCGTATTATGCACGGCAACGTTCACTTTTGTTCAGTTGAGGGGAGAGGGAGCAGAAAAGACGTTAGAAAAATCCTTGTAAAAACTTAGAATGGTTAAAATGATCTAAATTTGAGCGCTTATGATCTTTAAATGCAAAATATTTTTCAATGTGTGTGAATAATTTTTGAATTAATGATTATTACATATTATTGATAATATGTTATACACAGGAAAAAAAAAGTTATACGCACGAATCATAATTGTATTTATTTAAATTTAAGTTTTTTTAACCAATTAAGTTTTTGAATATAGGCCTTTAACCAAATTACTCAAGACTTTAATGAATTTAATTGTATCAAAAAATTTTAAATTAAAATAAAATATAGGAAAAAGAGAAGAATAAGTAAAAGGGTTAAGGATGATTTTTTGTGTGAATGTATCCGAAATAAACAATATCATCCTGACTATTAAAAAATAAATATTAACGATTAAAAAAACTAATGCTAACTATTAATGTTTATAAACAAGCGACATTTTTGTACTAAGACGAAAAAGACTTCAGATAATCATGGCTCTTTTGCAAATAGTTTAACCAAAGCCAATCTTAAGCCTAAGTAAAATTAATAACAACTTTGGATCTCACATTTTCATGTGACTCAAACTTCCCTTCATTGTCCGTCAATCAACTGTGCGGAATAACAATTAATGAATATTAAAATATTTAAATAAATATTTATTTTTTTGAATAAATAATAATTTTTAAAAATATAAAATAGAATTGTATATATAGGAATAACTAAAAATTTGTCTGATTTTGGAAAAATACTTTTTAATTAAAAAATAATTCCATTATAAATAAAGAAAAAATTGTTAATACAACTAGACGATTAATAATAAATTGTACAGTACTAAATTAAAATAAATAATTAAATTGAAAATATTAAAATTAATTATAGACAATTCACACAGACCATCTAAAAATGAAAAATTATAACTTTATAAAATATTGAATATTAAGAATTTATTTTTTTAATCCAATAGTGGGGATCGGATAAGGAAAAGTCAAAAAAAACAGGGAGCATCCAAATCCATTATTATGATCGATGAAACTTTTTAAACTTCTAACGTATTATAGGGGCATAGACTATTGACTTTGTGGAACCAATATTTGTCTTCTTTCCTTTTCCTTTTTAAAAAAAAAGTTACCAATAGAGTAAAACATTACTAAAAAAATATTAATCGGTGCCCCAGCCCAATAATAGTTCAAAGGGTTCAGGTTAGTTAAGAACAATAATATAATATTTATATTAATATAAATTTTTTAAGAAAAATCAAATTCCATGTTATCATAATTTTTAAAAATAAATTGCATACTTTGTTTCTTAATTCCATTGGACTTATATAGACCTATTCCGTATTTCAAAACCTTATTTTAATTTTACAGAAATTCCTTAAATTTTAGACTATTTTTTAATTGTAGACCAAAATCCTTTGTACGAAAGAATAAGTTTACATTTTATTGTAGCTTGAAATTTAAATACATTAATTTTGAAATGTAGAAAAATATCTATTAGTGTTAAGAATAAAAATAAATTTATTTCCTATCAAATGTTATTCACATTGAAGATGCCGTATCCCGCGCCCAAATCACATCTAAGAAACGACATTTTATGGAATCAAATTTCTTTTCTTTCATTCTCTAACAGACAAAACAAAAAACGTAGATTGCTGTCTTGTGAATTGTTGGGATTTGCAGATCTTGTGAAAATATTAAAAGTTTTATGTAAAATACTCTTCTAATCCTAGATATAAAACTCATTTTATAATGTAAATTGTATTATAAAATGAATCTTATATTTAGAACTAAAAGAATATTAATTAAGAATATACAAATAAACTAGAAAACTTTGCAGTGGTAATTATTAAAATTATATTTCTAGACATATACTATGATATTAAAATTTATTTAAATTACAATACATAAATGCATAATAATATAAAAAATAAAAGAAATATTATACTATGTGTAAAAACTTATATATAATAGAAATGGTAGAATATGTACTTGATAAGATCATATTTTTAAGTTTTTAATTAAATAATGCATAAAAGAATTCATTTGTTATATAAAATTTTATGTAACCTTTTCAACATTAATAATCAAATTAATGCTAAGAAGTACATTTAGTTTTTTTGTTTATATTTTTATAGTTATTTAACTTTTTTTTTTTGCCCGAATAGTACGTTATATAATTGCGTAAAGAAACAGTACAAGTCTGAGTCAACTTTTTTTTTTGGGGATAAATAAGTCTTGAGTCAGTGTTCATTAGAATATTGAACTACAAAAAGAAGTTTTGGCCGGAAAATTACAGGCAGAAGTGACCGATGATAAAAAGTGAAAAAAAACTACACATCCGGTCCTAAGGAACTTTTTCGGTGGCGGGATCTGAAATTTTATATAAATCATTTTGGGGAAAAAAAAATTCCTTCGGTCCTAAATATAAGACTCTTTTTGTAGTACAAATTACACTACAAAAAAAATTTTACATTTAAAACCGGACTAGTAATTACAGATATCGTCAAACATATGACACTCGTGCATTAATGAATCCCTTTAAGGGTAGGGGTTGAAAGTTGAAAATTGAAAATTCATACAAGTCTTTTTTTAAAAAAGAAAAAATCCTAGTGTGATAAAAATAATTCATAACACTGTCCCACAAGTTCAAAACATCATCAAGATGATAGGTTTTCTGTCAATGTTAAATGTAGATTAGTCCCAGAAGTATTCATCTCGGAACGCTGCGTATCTGGAAATTTTTTTGGATTTTCAGCAATTTTACCTTTTGCTGTTAGACTGTAAAAATAATGAAATTGATCATTAACATTTTTAATTGCTACGATTTTAAATTCTTATAACAATATTGAACCCAGAAATCTTCCAAGACAAATTTACATCTTAACTCTTTTCTTTAGGAGGAAGAAGAAGAGATAAAAGCACATGACAGAGGCCAGGGTCGAGGTTCCTAATGATTAAGATGAGAATGGTTCGATCATGAAGAGTAGGGATTATGATGACGATATGCGTGGAATCAGCCAATCAGGCTTCTTCAGTTCAAAACTCAGCCTCGTGATTGGCCAAAACAAATGGGGGCTGGCAGATCTTCTTGTTGAATCTTGGTTGCTCAAATGGCTAACATGAGAGGAAAGGAAAGGTATTCTACAGAGACCAGAGGACAGAAAGAAACTTGTATAATTTCCTGTGTACTAGTTCTGTTGGAGCTGCTCTTGGGCTCCCTTTTGGCACAACAGAAGCTATTTTATTTGCGGCTTATCCTTGATTCATCATTCCTGTTGCTATAACTGAGATCAGAGGAGCTGAGCACTGAAAAGATAATCACATATTTGATATCTTCATAGATGAAACCAGGAGAAATCCATTCATGACTATTATTGTCATTCTTTCTCGCCATTCTAAGAAGACAACTGTATAAGAACGATCTGATTCAAATGAGCTAATTGAATAAGTTAAAAGGGTTCTGTAAGAAGCAACAGCAGCAAGCCTTCAGTGAAAGTTTGACAGATTAACAGTTTATTTACAGTGCTTTAACTTTAAGCCCATGGAAATAGGATTACAATGCATCAATTATGCGTAACCCCTGTACAACTCACACGATTCCATCCTGCTTTGCCAATAATAATGAGAAAAATTGCTTCAAGATTATGATAAGAATCTCTTTAGAGTCATGGCAACTCACTGTTCTTTCCCCATCCTCCTCAGAAACAAGGCTTGCATCAATCAGTAAAATCAGCAGCTGGAAGGCACTTTCTGTCTGATGCTTGAATATATATATATATGTATGTATGTATGTATGTATGTATGTATGTATGTATATGTACATAACCGCTCAAAGGAAAAGAAAACAGCAGCTTCACAGGGAATCTTTCTATCCTTCTAACAGAGCTCTTAGATGCTGGAGTCCCTCAGCTGAAATGCTTCTCCTGACTCTTGACCTTTCTACCACCACAGGGGGCGGCGGATCTGCATGGAAACAGACCATCACAACGGTTAAGTTGTCTGTTGATCCTCTCTTCATGGCTTCCCCTACCATTTCCTTGCAGCATAGTTTCACATCATTGTGCTTTCGAAGCCGCCTCCTAGCAAAATCAATGGCATTTTGGCTGGTAAATACATCCCAGATTCCATCACACCCAATTATCAAGAACTCGTCTTCTTTAGTTAATGTCATCAATTTAAGTTCTGGCTCAGCGGTCAATGGCCCTCCTTGTCCTCTTTCACTCATTTCCTTCATTCCTTTGAGGTGCCAGTCGCCTAGAGCACGCGTGACACCAAGTTTGCCATTCAGGTAACCATCATCATCAATAAATCCACCTAAGGATTCAATCCTCGTCCTTTCTTTCGTACACAAGGGTCTATGATCTTTGGACATTTCTATAGCCCCTCCACATCGGGACAACACTGCCCTGCAGTCTCCGGCATTGGCTACAAGCAAAGACCTGT